AAAAAAAAAAAAAAAAAAAGGTTTCTAAGATTCTTCTTCTACATATTAAAAAAGTTGTTAAACATCTGAGTGGAGCACTATTGCTACTAGTGGTGAGAAAGTGTATTGCACTTTATTCAAAATCAGTGCGGTCCCACGGCCCTCTGTGGCCCAAAGTTAAAAACTGTTGTTCTTTTGAGGCCCACAAGGTGGCGCTCATGGCCCATGAGTTAAGAATCTCCGATCTAAATGATATATGTTTTAGAGCAGGGCCGTTAAACTGATTTTCTTCAAGGGCCACGTGAGCGTTATGTTGGCCCTCAAAGGGCCAGTTTTATATATATATACTTTGACGTTTCGTGTTTATTTTCAACTAAACATGAAACATCACGTTCCTCGTCTCATTGCTATGGCTGAGCACCGTTAACAAATAATAACTGAGCTCTTTGTGGTATTTTCTACACAGAAACAGCGTTTTAACACGTCCTCTTTAGGGATGTCCGATAATATTGGCCTACAGATATTATCGGTCCGATATTAGCATAAAAATGTAAAATCTCTACATATCGGTATYGGTTTTTCTTCCCATAACAAAAGCCCGATAAATTAATGCCTGGATTTGACCAAAATGTGTTAATAAATGCTTGTGGTCCAGAGCCGTTCACCCGTATGCAATTGATGACATCATCCAACTGGATTATCTCAGGGAGAGCACGATCCAAACTATTGTTTGAGACAAAATGTTTAAAAATAAATATAGCACTTTTTCCATAACTTCAGTGAAATGGTTTTTATTTTGGTACAGACAATGTTTACATATGGAATGCATCCAGTGGTGTATCAAAAAGCAGGCATAATGTCCCTGACAGAASATATGTGATGTCAGCTTAATATCGGTTTATAATATCGTTTAATATCGGAATCGGAAATTAAGTGTTGAACAATATTGGCGTATCGAATATCGGGGGGTCAGCTGCGGACATGAAAGTGCCTGCTGCGAAGCAGGAGGAAAGGAGTGAGGAAAAAGTAACTTATTTCTAGCGGCAGAACAGGTTGGAAGATGGCTGTTTGATGTTATTTACTGATTTGTTAAATCATCCTACAGGCTCTGACATGTTAGATAAATTTGAAAATGAGGTTTTTAAAATATCCGAAGACTTGAAAAAGTCAGTGAGATTGCTCTATACGTCTGTATACCTGCAAAATGACGTAAAATCCTTATAACTTACAGACAATCAGTACAAGTTGACATGTATGTTTATTGGAGATGAAGTTTATGGTCTAGAGCTGCAGCTAGCGATTATTTTAGTAATCCATTAATCTATGATGATGATGATGAAATGTTGCGCATTGAGTTTTGAAGAGTTCAGATGTTATTGTTAATAGTAAAAGTAAATTCATATTTTTATTAAGACTGTTAGGTTGGAGCAGGGTTCCCATTTTAGGCAGTAAAATATTTAGTCTTGACTGGTTAGCTATAGACTAAAATGATAGCAGTAATAAATATAGGCTAATGGCAGGTTTCAAAGTCATAAAATACAACGTTAAAAAGGAAACAAATCCTACTATTTTCTATAAATACATTTAAACTTGAAATATTCACTCCAGATATCTCATTTAAGTTAAGATAGAAGCATATCAACAGATAATTGTGTTTCAGCAATGCTAGCTTTAAAGTGCCTATGACATGCCTATCCTTCAAACGCAAAATGTCAAAGAAAACATCTATATACTTGAGAACATTGGCATAGTACACATGATTTAACCCATTTTGTCACATAACTGGCCTATTTTCTTTTGAATTTGGCTCAGCCACAGTGAAACAGGAAGTGACATCAAAGGGAAACTTGTTRATAAAATAAACTCGCTGGTCTCTGTTTATTAAAAGAAAAAAATTGAAACTTTAACTCTTCTTCATCTCTCTTTATATAGCGACTCAAAATAATCTAAAGAAACATCAGATTCTAACGCTCTGTTTACATACCGACATTCCCCTTTGACATCACTTCCTGTTTCTTCACATGTCAATATCTCAACAACCGTTCATCTCAGCGATGCGAAATTTGTTTTTGCAATATGTTATAAATGTTATCTTTCCAAAAATGCATTCATGTTCATTACAAGATTTAACGTCACAGGCACCTTAAATCAGCTTATTTTAAGAACTTAAAAGATCTTGCGGACCACACAARATGCCATGGTGGGCCACATTTGGCCCGTGGACCTTGAGTTTGATCTGTTCTAAGGAGAAGAGTTGTCAAATTTGCTATTGGAAGTCTCTTCTTACATTTGATTTACATTCCAGGTGCTTCATAATGGAGGACAGAGGCTACCTGGTCGCTCACCCCACGCTCATTGACCCTAAAGGTCATGCCCCTGCAGAACAGCAGCACATCACACACAAGGTAAAAAAATAAAAATAAAATAAAACAAGGCCAAAGGTATTTTTGCTAAATATAACATTTTACAGCTGAGATTAGAAACTAACTTTAAATTATTTGTTTTTTTTGTTGTTGTTGTTGTTTTTTTGTTTTTGTTTTTGTTTTTTAGGAGCCACTCGTGGCCAACGACATCCTGAACCACCCCAACTTTGTCAAGAAGAACCTGTGCAACAGCTTCAGCGACCGCACGGTGCAGCGCTTCTACAAGTTCAACACCAGCATAATGGTAAGCCAGGAAAAATGTTTCGCCTTCAAAGGTCTAACTGAGACCCTGTTTGCACGAGGGCCGGTCTCCGGAAATGTATTTTTTTCCCAATGTTTATTAGAGTGAGCAAACAAAAAAAATCACATGTTTACATGGAACCGCAGCAGTAATGTGCCAGGCAGGGTTGCCAGATGGGACGTGGTAAATTACTGTACTGTCYTGTTAAAATTATTGCATTTTGACCTTTTGCTGTAGTTGCCTGGCAGCTACTGCAAATGTTTCTTTCTAAACTAACAATAACTACAATAAATTACAGACAGCAGAGGGTTTTTTTTGTGTTACTTACACTTTGCAGCCTGAAGGAGCAAAACCGAAAAGCAAAAACCATCCTAGGTCCAAAAAAATGWTAGTTTATTCACTATTCAGACACTGTGCTCATGCAGCAAATGCATGACCAGTGCATGCACACTGAAAAAACTGTCCATTTTACCAAGTTTTAAAATCTTATATCC